TCAAAGCGTAGGGGGTGGTGAGGAAAATAAACCTAACATTTATACAGATACAAGGATCGCGAAACCTTATCCAAAGGGCATAATGGCGGCGTATTTAAAGTTTCCTGTCACCGTATTGTGTATACACTTACATTTCTTTTTTATGGTAGTAAAATACTGGGTGGGAGGGAGTATACAACACAAATAATTCAATTCATATTATTGTACAACCGGATACTTGAAACTACGTTGCAGAATTAGTCAGAAACACTGAAATGGAAGTAGTGGTACTTAAAATTAATTGTATATTTTACAAGTCATTGAAATGGCATTTAATTTTTTTAGTAGTATTAAAAAACAAACACAAAAATGGCGACAACAGGAGCTTGCCAGTTCTTACAGAGGTATGATTTCATGCTATTGATTATGCCCGTTAACGTTTACAAAGATCCTGTTTGGCACTGAACAAAACAGGTTTTCTTATAACCACCCAGCCCATCTGCTAGACTACCTCAACTGCTTATTGACATCGTTTTTACTGTGCCATCTTGTTAACTTTTTTGGTCACTGTAGTATTCAACTTTTACTGTGACATCTTCTTTTCTTAGTTGCTGTAATATTCAACTTTTACTGTGACATCATGTTAACTTTTCTTAGTTGCTGTAATATTCAAATTTTACTGTGCCATCTTGTTAACTTTTCTTAGTCGCTGTAATATTTAACTTTCACTGTGACATCTTGTTAACTTTTCTTAGTTGCTGTAATATTCAAATTTTACTGTGCCATCTTGTTAACTTTTCTTAGTCGCTGTAATATTTAACTTTCACTGTGACATCTTGTTAACTTTTTTGTTGCTGTAGTATTCAACTTTATGAATAAAATATAGCAAGTGATCATGTACAAACACGTCTTATTAGAGTGAAACTCAACTGAAGGAGGGTACTTGTATTAATGCAAGTATTTTTTAAGAACAATTTGTTAATAAAAATAATATTGATTATTTATTAGACTTGTGAATACCTAGCATTTGAAGGTGTAAGTTAAAATTAACAAAGTAATTTTTGCCTCATTTTATTTGAGTGACCTTATAGTTACAGCGTATTTTTAAGAATGAGGAAGAACCTCGTGGGGACTCGAGTCTTTTATGATCGTTTGGCAGCAACTCACAAATAAGCTGAAATGCCCGATAACTTTGATTTATATCAATCGTGCGGCACAAAAGCTACACACACCACAACACAGCTGCCAAGCACGACAGCCAACTGACGTTCATGATAAGCGTCTGTTTGTTTAAATGTAAAATTTTAAAATTACAAATTATTTGTAGAAATTGAAATTTTGACAGCCATTGTACCTTTTATGCGTTTGATTAAGACTTTTGAAATAAATTTAGATACAAGTGAGACTTTTGTTAGCTAAAATGACTGGGAAATCTGTCTATGTTTGGCTACCTTGTAGTTCTATAACGAATTTTTAGGTGTGTTTTGGTAGTTAGAAGTAAAAGAGATTGGTCAAGAGAAATTCTGAAAGAGGCATTTAAACTGTACAACACGTTTTGCGACCGAAACGTTTGTTTATATGGATTTACCGCACGCAAAAGTAAGAAAACTAATATATGAGTATACGGAATAGGAAACGTCGTATTTTTCCATACATAGCGCAAATAGAAGTATAAGTTATTCCTTTTGTGCGAACGTGCTGTATGTTCTAATTTTGTCTACTCGTTTTATCCATATCATGATATGGTATTGACATCTGAGTTTTGCAAACAAAAAAAAAAGCAAGCCTAGATATAAATATCATCTCAATACTGTGATTATTCCCGATGATAAGTGCAGGGGGACATATGTTATTTCAAAAAATAAGTAAAAGTTCAAGACAATTTTTTAATCAGTTCTTCGTTGTGAGTGTCGTAACAGAAAAAAGCACAAAATGGCTCAGTAAGGTGCAATACGTGGACCCCCTCCTCCCGGTTGTAAATGGTATACAACAACATATATAATAGTATTGTCTGATGCATGTCATGTAGCTGGATCTTGACCAAAATTGGAATGGAGGCTCATTAGGTACAAACAAAATTTCAGTTTTGCGTGTTTTTTTTTTTTTGTTTTGTTTTTTTACCACTACTTCCGCCCCCCCCCCCCTTGTTGATGGATCTTGGTATGAATGTTTGTTGGGTCCATGTGGAGATACATGCAAATTTGCGATTTCACATTTAGTTGTGTT